CCTCCCCAGCCCTTGGTCAACCATGGCTCCTGTGATAGATTCAGAACATACTAAGCAAACGTCATGGCAAGCCACCGCCTGCCTAACCACCAGCACTGGTTACATGGTGGGAGTTCCGGAAACACTTACTGATCGACTGGTGGGCACTTAATGTTGAGCTCGGTTCTCAGATGTCAGCTGCTGGCTCCCCTGCAGCCGGCACCAGGCTGGCCCAAGGCTGGGGCAGGTTCCAGGCGGAGGTCTGGCAGGCTTGTGAGGAGAGGCTTGGGTGGACGGGGCTCTGGTGGGGTCCCTGCCATGGGCGGGAGAGGGGGTGCCGGTGGGGGTGGCCCCATTTTCAACACTCGGCTGGGCCCCGGCCAGTTCAGTGAAGCTCCCGCTCTCTTGGCAGGGAGGGGCCTGTGGAGCCCTGGGTACCATCCGTGGTGCCTGCCAGGGCTTCGGTGCCCACAGCTGTAAGGAGCCCCCCTGAGGACGTGACCCCCCCAAACATGGGACCTCGAGCCCCTGTGACTGGGGTCTCCGGAGAGCCTGGGGTCACTTTTTCTAATTGCTGCAGGGCCAGTGGGACTGGCCGTGGCCTGGACCTGTCCCCACTGCTCTCACCCCAGGCTGGAGCCTCTCCAACCCTGGACCAGCCCAGTTCGGTCCTCCGCTCCCCAGACCCAGGGTGTGGGGTGAGCACGGGAGTCACGGTGGCTCCGGAGGAGGCAGGTCTGTGGCAGAGGGAGGGGGATTCACCCGGAAGCTTGGAGACAGCCAGTGGGGCCCACTGTGGGGCAGGCTCCGCAGTCTGCATTTAACCCCTCCCTGGGCCTTTGGTGCAGCATCAGGGCGCGAACCTGGAACCTGACGGCCTGGAAGGGTGAGTGACTCTTACTGGGGAGGCGGAGGCTGGGGGCACTGGGCAGGGGGAGCTCAGGGGAGGCCCGATGGGGGCAGGTTAGCCCTGGCACCCCTTCATCTGACCGCAGAAAGGATGGGCTGGGGTGCCTACTGAAGTGGGGACCCCCAGCGACTGTCACAGCGTCCCTGAAAGAGGAGTTGGGGAAAGAGAACGGGGAATGGGGGGCGGAGGGGATGAGAAGCCTCAGGGCCTAGAGCCGGAATGGGGTGGAGGAGGAGGACCCTAGAGCTGCTTGGTGACTTGAAGCTGGGGGAGGGGCACAGAGGGCAGCCCTGCCCCTTCCCACGTGGGGAGCCCGAAGGGGATTGTTAGGAGCCGAGGTGGGGAGGGAAGCTTGAAGATATTAACAGCCAAATAATACGTATTCAGAACAAAATTCAGGAGCGCGCAGGCGCACAGAGAAGCAGCGCAGGTGGGGGTGGGCACAGCCTGCAGGTGG